GAGAGGAAAAAGAATAGTCTTTAGGGAAGGATGGGGAGGAAAAGAGAATCTAAGGAAGCAGAAGGCTAATATGGAAAAAGGAATCTAACCAAGGTGAACAGGGGAAGAAAAGTGAAGAAGGTTAAAAAAAACTATATAATGCACCAAAACATCACAATGAACTCATTCTGTCAATAGTAATTTTGAATTACTAATATGATTTAAATTATGCATAGTATGTTTGTCTGATTTTAAACAACAAAATTACCTAGAAGCAAATTTGCATTTTATGATTCGGTATCCAGTGATCATGAGATAGGAAAAACAGCAGTTATTTTAATGTAAAACAACAACAACCAAAAACATAAAACAAGAAACAAAAACAGATGCAGAGAGTTGTCAGACAGGTGTTGCAGATGGACAAGGCAAAGGAGAAGCATCAATTGACACCCAGGAACCAGCTGCCACAGTCTCCCTGGTGAAGCAGAGAGGAGTGGGTAAATTATTCAACTCTGGCTGCTGAATACTTATTGCTTGGGTAGGAAAAGAGAAATAATGCCAAGGAACAGAACAAAAACAAAAACAAAAACAAAAACAAACACTGAACACGTTCCTTAGCCTTCGCTTCAACTGTCTTCCACCATTTCTCTAATACCCCTATGAATGGATTTGAACAGTGAACAGAGCATTGGGTTTAAATAGATAAGAGTTTAATAAAGTATATACAATCAGACTGATTCTTATTACAATGAAAAAGATTAAATATAACACAACTAAAATTAATAAATTATATACATGAATGTTAAAAAAGATGCTCCTTTTTATAATATCATTGTATGAAGTATCACAAAAAATGCCATATAAGAAAACAAAATATCTTTTTTTTTTGAAACAAAATATCTTAAAACACAGATCTTGAAGCCGGGCTATGGCGGCACATGCCTTTAATTCCAGCACTCAGGAGGCAGAGGCAGGCAGATCTCTCTGAGTTCGAAGCCAGTCTGGTCTACAAGAGCTAGTACCAGGATATGCTCCAAAGCTACAGAGAAACCCTCTCTCAAAAAAATAAAAAACAAAACAAAACAAAACAAAAAACCCACACATACCTTGAAAAAGACAGCCCATGTTCAATGAAAGCATTAATAATTTTTAAATGCCCATACTATCCCTTATTATTTACAGATTCAGTACAACCCTACAACAATCTCAATGTTATTTTTTACCAGTATAGAAAGTCAGTCTTAAAATTTATAAAGAACAAAACCAAAGGACTGCACAATCAAAGCAATCTTTACAGAAAAGATCAGAGCTCATTCGAAAGAAAAATCTTATAAAAAGTTTATAATCAAAATAGAACCAGATTTTCAGCTAATTTTCAATGATGGTCCTGAAAACACAAATGCAGAAAAGATAATCTCTTCAAGAACTGGTACTGCAAAAAACTGGATATCCATGTGAAGAAAAAAAAGGAGAAAATGTTGGTTCTTTTGCACATGACATAAAAAAGAAATGAGAATTTTTTCCTGGAATTATCCATACTTAAGTTTCTACAAGTATAGAGAAACACTCAAATATTCAATGTCTTTTCTTTTTCTATTTTCTTGGTACTTCTGATCTTATTCTGGCTTCTTTTATATTCAATTATCTTTTTGATGTTGTTTCTTTAGGTATTAAAATACACTTCTGTGATTTTCTCCTCTATTGCACTTGCTCCCCCCCCCACCAGTGCCTCTAGAGGTTTGAATAGTTTAAGACATTTAAATGGTGCCACATTCACTTTTCTAAATACATGTTTTTAAGACCCCCTCTCATATTTAACTACTAGAGAACTCTCAAATGCAGAAAATGCCCTTGAAGTTTAGGAATGGCAGCATGCTATTTCCAAGCTTTCAGCGAACGCACACTCTAAGATGGAAAGGAACAGACAAAACCATTCACTTAAAAGTTCTACCTTACTTCCGAATTCCTTAAAGGATCTGCATTCTTGAACTCTTTTATTTTTCTTTTATATACTAAGAAGAACCAGTAATATACACCCGCTAACGTCTTGCAAACTTTGAGTGCTTTGTAACCCGGCAAAGCTCAGTGCCATGCATCAATCCCTCCAGGACGATCTAAAAGTTAAAGTGTACGATCTATTTTTAATTTTTTTTTCAGAAAAATAAGCCTAAGAAATGTGAGGAAAATAGAGGAACATCATATTAATGAAACAAACCTCACTAGATCATACTCCTAAGGGCAAGGGGGAAGGTGGACTCCTACATTCCACTAACACTCTTTCCCTTCCTTCCATTGTTTGAAGAAATCAAGTTATAATAGTGGATCAGTGAGAGTCCTCCCAACATCCATTATTATGCTCATGTGGGAAAACCACTCTAAGCTTTCTAACTGCAAGGTCTTTGAAATAACTCTCATCTAGAGTAAAATGTAAAAAATACTCCTCTGTTTCTGAACAACAACAAAAAAACCTCAATCCCGTTCCTGGGGTTACCAAGCTGTAAAGAATCCATAGAAAGCCAGAAACTGACTCAGGAGCCTGACCTGTGTACACTGTCTGGGAATCCTAATTTCAGAAGCAACGACAACCAGAGCAGTGATATGTGGAGTCCCTTGCATCAGAAGGTTAGCAGACAAAATGACAAAATGAAATTGATATCTCTAAAGGCTATGCTGCTGTTTTTATGAGTAGTGTTCTTAAATTTACGTGGGGGATATTCTGAGGAGACCCCACCCCTTTCCCAATTGTGACTCTGACTGTATGATATGCAAGCCTCTTCACCTTTGATTATGAGAGAGAGCTTGTATTCCTTTTTCCTTTCCCTTGCAAGCGATTAACCAGAAACATCTTTGAAACATAGATGTGTTGTGTTGAAATTCCGGAAATCACAATTCTGAAGTGATTTAATTGGGCTAGCATCAAGTTATCAGCAGGATGATAGTTGCTCCTGAGACCATAGGAGAGAATTCACAACTCTTTTCCAGCTTCTTGACACTGTCCAGATGCCTCCCTGTCTCATGTCTTCCCTCGTCTTCAAAGCTAATGGCTAGTCAAGTCTTTTTCACGTCTCCTTTCTCTAATAAGTCTTTATGATTTCAATATGCACAGTGGTGTCTGAGGTTCTCTCCAATCAGCAGCAGTTGATGTAACTGCCTTAAATTTACCTGTAGACATAACAACTCCCTTGCTTTGTCAGCATCTTAGCATATTCAAAGTTTCTGGAATTCGGGGTGTGGATATCATTGCTGGGTATTGCTCTGCCTACTACAGACGTCACAAGGTTTTTGTGAGAAATAAATCAAACAACATAACATGGAAAGTATTTATGCATTGTTTGTAGAAAGTGTTCAGTAAATGTTATTCACGTGAACATATTTAATAAGAAAGCAAATAAGCACCCTCAAGTCTAATTTTACTGACCAAATTCAAAGCAAACAAAGAAAGTGTGTATGGTGGCTAGATGTTGTAGGTATTTAACCAAACATCCCAATTTATGTACATTGTACTTTTACAGCTCCCATGTGAAACAGCTTAAGTCACTCTACAGATAAAGAATTGCCACTCTCAGGTGTCACGAGATTATTGTTTCAGCTGTGACAAGGAAAAAATGTGCCAAGGAAAACTGTAGACTTGCTGGAGGTCACACAAAGCCCGAGCCATTAAGCAAGCAGGACATATCTCAAAAGGGCAGTCACAGGCGCAGAGCATCCACCAAGGACCTCCACCGAGAAATCCAGGAGTGCTCCATTATGCTCCATTCCGCTCTGAGATCTAAATTACTGCCAATTTCTCATCTTTTAATCACTTCACAGAAGTCAAGTGTCCTTGGCAGAGACTGCAGAGGGCAGCAACATCTCATCCCATTTGATTCTAAATTAATTTGATCTTTTAACTCACAACTATCATGCTTTCTGGGCTGATAAAAAAAATCTTAGGGCAATTTATTTTTTCACAAATAAAACCCGATAGGGACAAAATTGCTTGAATACATACTTCCACTTAAATAGACACAGAAAATTTTGAGTCCATCTATGAATAATTTTACTCTAGGAATAAATATATAAAATAACAAATATATATATTTATTTATATAATTAATTGTAAGAATTTTATATGTTTAATATTTTTACATGTGTTGAAATATGTTATACACATATATATTCATATATATAGTATACACCTTCAAAAGTTATAAGCCTCTGTTTTTATATTTTTTCTTTGGAAATGATGACACTGAAATTTTAAACTTTATCTAGAAGTTAACTCTTAGAGGAAGATAGAAGAATATACTAGGAATAACTCCTTATTGAGCTTTGAGTCATAAGTATTTCCTATGTTATCTAAGGTTGTTTGTAATTTCAAGGCAGACATTATTGTCTGTCACTATTAAGTACTCTGGTGTCCAAGAGATCCAAGAGTTGCACAGCTATAGCCCGACATAGTACCTTAGAACCACACCCTGAGCATACATTGACTGCATACAATAAATACTGTTCAAAGCCTAAATTTCAAAATATTTAATTCTGTATTTATAAATTCTATGACATGATAAACCAAAAGATAAAATAGACATATATTTCACTCGAAGAATGGAAATTACCTTTATCACCTTATAAACTTAAAATGAGAATTCTCTAGGGAAAATGTACTCAGAACAGCAGAACTCAGTGTAGAGAACACAAGGTTTTCCAGAAGCAGATGCCTGTAGTTTCCTGTAATCTCAAATGGATTCCTATTTCCTTCCTCCTTAAAAGTATTTTTATATTTAAATAGAGGGGGCACACTGTTAAATTTGTAAAATCTCATCAAAACCCTCATCTAAAAAAAAAGTATTCCAGACCTAAATTATTGAAATAGCCACAAATAGATAAGCCAGTCCTATAAACTATGCGCTTCCATTACCAGACAGTAAGAGCAAGTCTCTGTATTTCTACTGACTTTCAAATCCCGATTTCTCACAATGAAGCAAGCACCACTGAACACAGTAACAAAAACAAGGGACCTTTATAAACGTGTCACTTGCCTGGTATGTTGCGAAGCGGAGGCGGAGGCACGTTGTTAATGGCTACCATGTGAGCCAAAATAGCCGTCGGAAGAGAGTTCATCGGCATTTTGGTAGCTTAGAGGGAAATGGGCAGTGACTGCTTGACTGGTAGAGGACCATCCTTATCTTCCGATCATCATAAAGCTGAACCTTCCAGGCCTCTCTGATAGGCCAAGTCCACAGAACCTTCTTGTTCACAGTTCTGATGTAAGAATGGGGGCTAGATCAGTAAGAACTCTAGTCTTGGTCAGTGCATGAATGCGGGAAGCGAACTAACTATAGGGCTAAGGAAAATGAAGGATGACAATCTAAGTCACAGGGCAAACACAATCTAAAGTACTCATAAGTTTTAAGTCAGGATTTTTTTGTTTGTCTTCATGATTTAGAATTCCTTTCTTTCCCACTTGGTCATAACAAAACAAATCCATTTTTGTAGACCCAGAAACAGACAAAGAAGAATTAGTCCACTCTCTGTCTATAACAAAGGGTAAACCAGTATCCTAATTATCAGAGACCCATAATCACCCTTGCATACACACGACCAAATTGCATTGTTGTGTAGCATGATTTCAGTTGTTTTCTCTTAATCGTAGTGACCAAAGCTAATTTGGATGTGGGTGTGAAAAGTGGAGGAGGTGGAGTCGTTGACAGTTGTCATGTAAGGCAAACTACTGGAAGAGAAGGCATCTTGACAGCTCCGAAACAGCTGGTCAGATGTTACTTGTGGGGTATACAATTGAATTAGTGTAATTAAATTCTGTGTGTCATATATTACGGTGGCATCTATCTTAGGTAATATGTGTAAAGAATTTAAGTTGTCTCTCTCCTCCTGTGAGTCCCAAGGATTGAACCCATGTAATCAGGCTTATCAGTTGGAGCCTTTACTTGCTTGAGCTATCTAGCAAACCCTCACACTTTCACCTTATCTCTATTTCTTATAAAACAAATCACATACATTGAAAGATGTATAAGATCATAGAAACTTCACATTAAACAAGATCTTTCTTGAAACTATTTACTTATTTACTTAATATTCTATGTGTATTGTGAGTGTGTGGTGTACGTGTATATGCAAACACATGCACCTATACATGAAATGTGTAAAGGCCAGGAACAATACCAGGCGTCTTCCTTTACTGACTATTTATTGATTTATTTACTTGTTTGTTTGTTTGTTTGTTTGTTTTCAAAACAGCATTTCTCTATGTAGCCCTGGCTGTCCTAGAACCCTCTCTGTAGACCAGACTTGCCTCAAACTCAGAGATTCGCTGATCTCTGTCTCTTCAGTGCTGGGAACAATAGCATCCAACATCGCTGCCTGACAAATTTACTTTTTAAAGACAAGATTACTCTCTGACCTAAAGTTCACTGACTGTCCAGACTTCTAGACCAGTAGGCCCTTAAGACTTCTGTCTCCATTTTCCAGCTTCGAAGTACTCACCGACATTCCCAACTTTAGTGTGGGTATAGGGGAACTGAACTCAGTTTCTCGACTTACACAGAGAATACTTTATCCAGCAAGCCATTTCCTCAGCCTGAAAAATAATTGAAAATAAAACATGCTTAATGAAAACACAAGTAAACAAAACCTTTCAAGGAGAAATTGAAAATAAAGTAATTTATTAGTTTTATACAAATCTATATATCTTCGTAATGATATTGTGTGTTTATTTAGAAAACACCATCAGTTCACAAACCAAACTTCTTCCAAATGTTTCTCATTAGTCCTTCTAGTGTTGCTTAATCCTTTTCAAATATATTCTAAGGACAATAACCTAATCATGTAGTTTATATTTGATATACAGATGCATTAATATATATGGTTGGTACTTCCTGGATATTCCTCATAAATCTATACATTTCTCAGCCAGTTATTTGCAAAATTAACTTAGCCAAATCATTTAATTTGCCTTTATCTTAATAACCTGCTCTATATAATAGGGATAATGTATCTCACATGAGTGATATAAAGATTAAATAAAAGAGTAGAGATAAGGGTGTGACATACAGTCCCTGGATGTGTGACTCAGTATGCTAATACTATACATAGGAAAATCATGAGCGATCCCTATGGGTATGAACAAGATAAAAATGACACAAAATGTGAACAGTTATAAACAAAGGCATAAATTTGGGGAGGAGTAGAAATTATCTAGAAAGGATTTGTAGAAATTTTCCAAAGTAAAATATTATTGCTCCTTCATCACTCTACAGCTATTGATTCTTCAGTCTATAATCTCCCTGATTGATCCCAGGAATAAGAGTACAGGAGGATTTCTCAGCGACAAATTCGCTCATTGAAATGTAACTTTTCATAATTCCAGATTTAGCAGATTAGAAGGCCAGGCCTAAGATGGAGATGCCTACATATACACAAAGAGAAGGAGACTGTCTGAGATTTGATCGTGTTATTATTCATCTTGAGAGATTGTGCTCTGGAACCGATTGGAATAAAGATGAAAGGAGGGAAGGTGAAAGAGGAAAAAAATTAAGGAGCCGTTAGAGTTGCTCATGACGGCAATGGCAAAAGGTTGTAAGTAAATTATGGTTAAGCATTCATGGGAACTGAAAAAAAAAGATTTTCAGAATTCAACACTTATTACTGTACATACTCATATACTTCTCAAAGTCAATTATTCCAGAGATTAATTAAACATTATAAGATATAACTACCATAAAGAGACTAAAATAAGCAGCTAGGTAAATAACCAAAATAAATGTAGTCAGATGCAAAGGAGATACTTAGATGCCCATGTTTATTGTGGCATTATTCACACTAAATATGGAATCAACAAGGGTACCGTGAACATATAAATACAAGTGGAAAATATAGTTAACATAGAAAATGGCTTATTGTTCAAGTGTGAAAACAATGAAACCACATTATTCAAAGGAAAATGAATTGAACTAAAGTAACTCAATTTGCGCAAAATATGCCCGGAACAGAAAAAGAAGTACCACATTTCCTCTCTGATGTAGAAATTTTAAAAATAAATAAACAAAAGCTGAAATGCAGAAAAAGAGACAATTAAAGAGTCTGTGCATATCTGGAACCCTACTCCTCATACTGGGTCGCCTTGCCCAGCCTTAATACACAGTGAGGTGCTTAGTCTTATAGCAACTTGATATGCCATGTTTTATTGGTACTCATAGGAGAGCTGCCCTTTCTTAAACAGAAACTGAGGAGTGGATTGGGGAATGGGAACAGAGGGAGGATGGAGAAGAGGGACTTGGAGGAGAGGAGGAAATAGAAACTGCAGCTGGGCTGCAAAATAAGTAAATAAGTAAAAATTAAAAAAGAATCTGGGCAGAGGATAGAGGGAAAGAAGAAGAGTAGAAAAGAGAAAGTTGAAGGGAGACAGATATGATCTAGGCATGATGCATTCTTATGTGGAAATGTCACAGTGAAATGCTTTGAGTTATTCAATTAATAAATCTTTAAAGTGGTGATGGTGGTGGTGGCAGTAGCGGGGGTCTTACTGTTGGTAGTCATGGTGGTGGTGGTTGTGGTGGTGATGGTGGTGGTGGTGGGACAAAGTCAATATTACTCCCCCTTTTTGGCAATGCACTGGTTTAGAAACTTTACACAAACTTATCTACAATACCCAAAGAGATGGGTATACTACAGTAGCTTTATTTTATAGATGAGAAATCAAGGTTCATACTGATAATTAATATGAGATCATACAGAACAGAAATGGTCTTTGTTGTTGCTTGTGTTTTTATTCATTTGTTTTGACCTCTAGTGAAAAGACAGGAAAGGGTCGGGCCTGAAAAGAGATTAGAAGTGGTTTAATAAAAGATGGCATATAATGGATTTCTCCTCCTATTCCTCAAAACAGTTGAACTATGTTGTTCATGATTCTCAGCAATTATTTTCTCTGTCTATATTTGAAGTGTTTGAATGAGATATCCCCCATAAGTTTCAGGCATTTGAATACCTGGTCCCCAGTTGGTAACCTTTCACCGAATATTAGGAAATGTGGCCTTGTTAAATGAAGTATATCATGCAGCCAGACTTTGAGACTTAAAAAGACTCAGCCATTTCTAGTTAGCTCCCTGCTGCTTCTTTGTGGATGGCAATGTGAGCTCCCAGGTGCTGATCTGACACTATACCTGACAGCCTACTGCTATTCGCCAGACCATGGTTGTGATTGACTCATCCCTCTGAATCTGTAAAGCCCAAATAAGCCCTTCCTTCTATAGCTTGCATTGGTTATGGTGTTTCATCACAGCAATAGAAATATAACCAATATAATATTCTTCAGAAAGTACATAAAAATTTTGGACTCTAGTTTGTATAAATAAGAGTCCCATTTTGTTATAAAAATCCCCTTGAAGATAAACCAGATACATCATTTTATAAAACTAAAATTAATCTTCAAAAGACATACCACTAGGCAACTCTTTTATTTTTTGAGATTATCTTTAGTTATGTGTATGTGTGTCTGTGTGTAGGTATGTGCACATAAGGTGAAGTGATCTCATACGATGAAGAGAGTGTTCTCTCCCCTAAAACTAGAGTTACGAACAGCTGTGAGCCATCTAATGTCAGTGCTTGGATCCAATCTTGGGTCTTCAGGAAGAGCAGTGTATACTCTTAGCCACTGAGACTTCTGTGCATTCTCGAACACTGAGCCATCTCTCCATCTAGACAGCTGCTCTCTTAAAATCTACATTTTTAATGATTCTTAGCAGCCTGACCAACAACATCAGAACAATACTTTGCACCAGCTCTTTTTATAAGAAACGTAACTATTGAGTGGGAAAAGCAAAGTGTTTTAATGATGGGAAATGACTGTTCTAAATAACCCGACTGTTACCAATGACAGATGATTGTAAAGGAAAAAAATCATACCCCACATGACAACAGCTGCTCAGGAGAATAATGAAATGAGTGTTGTGAAAAGCTGCTAAGCTCAGAAAGTCTGCTCAGTTTTGCTAGGATGGCAGCTCCATGCCAGCTTTCTGATAAACTAACTGAAGCACAGTTACTACATTATATCACAAAACTTTTAAAGTATCTTCTCTAACTGACTTTTAAATTCTTTTCCTTTATAAGTACTCACAGGCAGATGGAGGCTCCTTATTGAAGTTGGCTCTGTGCTAAACAAAATAGACTCTAAACGTTTGAATTATGTAGGCTTTCTAAAGGGAATTTCACGTTAAATCATGTT